CCATAAGCAGTTGAATTTGCTTATCAGCACCAAATCCAACTCAATGCACGGCAAACATAATTTTTCAGCAACTCGTGTCCAGATGAACTTTGGTAACAACGCCTTCACTGACAGACCTTCTGCTAGTTGAATTCCGCGAATATGGCTTCAATCTGGACACAATTCATTGGATGGCCAAAATACTTATACTGGACCCAGTTAATACGTTTGTGCAAGAAGCCCTTAATTATTATGCCTCACAATTTACGGCTTCCCTTGTGGCTCGATTATCCCTTCGTATATATTCGCTGATTTTAAAACTGATCCGTTTCCAGTTACTACTTTATCGTAAATAAGCCAACGTCACAAGCTGTTCGTGCGTCCGAATACGCCAGGTGACGAATGACTCATCCAAGACCAAATTTCACGGTGTACTGCACTACCTTCTTGCTCCTAGCTGCCTAGGAGAGCCATTTAAGCAGGTCATGGTTCCATGGCATTTTAACGCCAGGTATTTATGCGGCAGCATATAAAGAGTACCAGCTCATGAAACGTCGTTCGTGATGAAAGCGAAGTGGCTGCAGCCAGCAAAATGATTATCATGAAGATGATGATGCGAGAATCACCTAGTACAGGCAGATGTTCAAATACCACAGAGCCGTGGCTTGCTTAAATGGCAACCCTAGGCAAAGAGGTGCAAATCGCGGTACAGTACACGGTGACGTATGGATTTGAAGGAATCAGTCAGTCATTATTTGATATACTCGGCACAAGAACTCCTTACGATGTCTATGTTAATGTAGCACTGCATACACGTACTGTTCACACTATTACTTACATCTACAGTGCTGCAAGAAACGTTCGCGTGTGTATGCGTCTAAAACGAAAAGCCTAGTGCTTTCTCGTTGTCCTGCCCGTTGCTCTCTTCAGATTAACGGAGAAGCAGAGGAGCAGGTGGAAAAGTTCAAGTACCTCGGAATTGTATTTACTAGTGATGGAAAATTGGAGGAAGAGATCGACCGGCGAATTTGAGTAGCCAGTGGCATTCAGCGTGAACTAGTCCAATCCGTTGTGACTAAAGCAGAGTTCAGTCTGGAAAACTAAACTCTCGGTGTTCAAGTCGATCTTCATCCCCATGCTTACTTACGGACATAAGTCATGGACCATCACTGAAAAACTTCGAACCCGGGTACAAGCTAACGAAATGGGCTTTCTTAGACGAGTCGCTGGCCTTACGTATCTCGACATGGTCCAGAATCCAAACTTCCGCAAGAGCCTTCATATACAGCCGCTCCTTCTTCAGATTGAAGAGTCACAGCTGAGATGCTCTAGACGTGTTGCGAATGACTTCATAAAGGAAGCGAAAGAAATATTTCTTGTCTAACCGACCGGCAGATGACCTAGGGGATGGCTACGATTAACCTGGTGCAAGTGCACTGAAGATGTCTGCTCTAGACTCAGCTTACCTTCTGCCGAAGCTCAGACTCTGGCTCAGGATCGGAAACGCTGGAAGTACTGTCTGACTCGTCAGCCTCAACGACCTGAAAGGAAAATTGGTCATGGAAGGTGAAGTGAGAAATCAAACAGAATACGATTGTAGAATCGTAAAACATCACGAAGACTACCATCTGTTGCTAACAAGTAGTAAAGTATTAAATAACAATAACAAATATAAAACTATTAAATTCACATCACATTAGCATATCTTCCTTGAATGTGCATGCTTCTACAGATAGCAAACAGCGTTGATTTTGACACACTTCAGGCAATTCCATAATTTGTTTTACAGTTAAACTTACTTTACAACAAACGTCTTTGGAAACATTCTAAACTATTATCAGAGTAAATCATAACCAAGGTTAAGCAATAAAATATGCACATATGCTGTAGCTAATGGCCTTAATCGCACATCAAACATACAGTTACCAGCAGATAGACAGAAATGTAGGTACACCTAATAGTGCAATTTATTGAAACCAGTAAAGTAATTCGCACAAGGAATGACCGAAGTGGGAAATTGTGTTTCTATGCCAAACTCAGAGGGACACCATGTTTCAGCAAAAAATTTACCGCTTGCAGATCTTCATCATCTTCATCTTTATCTTCCATCGCCGCTTCCCCTTTCGGGTCGCGGAGGCAGACGCGTCAGACAGTGCTTCCAACGTTCCCG